AAAAAAAAAAAAAAAAAAAAAAAAAAAAAAAAAAAAAAAAAAAAAAAAAAAAAAAAAAAAAAAAAAAAAAACTCTAAAAGTAAAAAAAGAAGATAATTTTTTTTGAATTAACTGTAATTACCACACTCTCCAACTGCTCATCGCCAGCTAAAAAGCAACGCACCATCATTTTCCTTTTGTCGGAAAAAGAAAAAGAAAAAAGGAAAAAGAAAATTCCAATTTCTCCTTTTTAATTTTCCAAAAATAAAATCTCTATGAACGGCGTCGTTTCCAGCGGTCGTCGCCCGTTTAGCGTTTACCCTCTTCCACTATAAATAAAACCCACCTCCGTTCTAACGATTTTCTCCCCTCCCGTGGCGGTGGCTCAAAGCTCCAGCTTTTCTTATCTCTTTGTTGGGTTGGGTTCCTTCAGGTCTCAATTTCTATCTCTATTACGCCTTTTCTATGGAACTGATCTGTTCTTTGTCTATTTTTATCCATTTCCTTTTCAATTCTTTTGTGGTTTCCTGAAGATTTTTCGTTCCGATTTCTTTGGCTGTTGTGTGGTTTGCCTATTTTTGTTTCGTTTTTCCCGGATCTAGACGACTCTTACCTGGTTTTCCCTAATCCTAATTCTATATATCCATGTTGTGGTCTCGCGTAGGGTTTGTCCTCGTTAGGGAAAGGTTGATTCTGAAAAAGGTTGTTCGCGGTTTTTAAGGATCTGTTCTTTGGTAGTTTTTTTTTGTCATATAAAAAGAGATCTATTCTTGTTTTCTTGGTCTGGATCTCAGATCTGTTGCTGGTTGGGAAAATTTTAGAAGTTTTTTGTCCAAAAAGTTAGCTGAAAGGTTATGATTTTGTGTTTTTGTTCATGGAAATTGGATTCTTAGCTCAGATCTGTTGATTCTAAACTTACAGAGATTTGGATCTGTTGCTTGGCTATAGTTTTAGCATTGATAGAATGGATTTTTTTACTAGTTTTCGATCAGATCTGACTAATTATGAGATTTTGAGCTTTGATTGAATGAATATTTGGCTAGTTTTCCATTAGATCTGACTATGTTAGAGTTTCTGTGTATCGATTGTTTCAATGTCGTTTGAATCGTCATATTTGCAGGCGTTCTTCTGTGGATCTGCCAGTTTCAAAGATGAATCATTATATTGTTCAGCAGAATACGTTTATTTCACGTGAGGAGACTAAGGGCTTTGCCTCAATCTCTGATCTGAAGGACCCAATTGTTTGCCCGAAGCCCAGGCGACTCGCAATTCTTGCTAACAATCACATTAAACAACCCTTAAGATGGCACCAAACTGAGTTTTGTGATTCAAAAGCTGGGGCAGATCTCCTAGATATCATCTTAAAGAAGGCAAGTTGTAATTATAAGTTCAATATTTGAATATGATTTGGTATCATTATCATTCATTACAGAGCTTTGGTTTGTTGTATGGATTTCAACCTTGTTTTCTTTCTGTTTATCGTACAATATGATTGACTTGAACGTTGAATGGCACAGGGGTCGGAACAATCGAGCAGCCACGTAGCTTCGTCGCCCCCATATTTTAGTGGGTCTCCGCCGAGCCGGGCTTCAAACCCATTAATCCAAGATGCGCGGTTTGGAGATGAGAGAGTGAGTCCTATGGCAGCGTTGCCTGCATACTCCCCATCAGGTCTGTCATCTCCATCGTCGGCATCATTGAAAGGAGGGTGTGCGAGGATGAAGTTTGGTCTAAAACCGGCTGCAGTTAGAGTAGAAGGATTTGATTGCCTTAGTAGGGACCGACAGAATTCTAGGATCCCTGCAGTTGCTTGAAAACAAAAAAAAAGAAAAAAAAAAAAAACCTCCATGAATGGAAGTGTAAATAGAGAATGGAGCTTAAAGATTGTGCTGCAACAAACATTTCAACCACAGGCCTAAAGCTTACCTTTTAACAACCAGAGAATTTGAGAACCCATCATCTCTAGTACTAGTAGTGTACATATAAGAAGATGTTTTTGCTGGTGATCATCCGAATTTATTGTCTTTTTTTTTGGTTTTTTTAAGGTAGCTTTGTGTGGGACAGTGGGAGTGTTGGTGGAGTGACAAACAAACCTTGTATTGTAGAGAAAAAGGTTTGGGTTTGGGTTTGGGAAGGGATGAGTCTTGTTTTTTTTCTTTTTTTGATGATCACCATGAGTTTTAATGTATAGAGTTTTTTGCTGTTTGGTTCTTGGTCCATTTGCCATGTAAATGTATTGTGGTAATTATTTGTCCCATCTTCTTGGATTTATGTTTGTTCTATCTTCTTTTTGGTTCGACATTTTGTTTAGGATGTTTGAGAGTAAAATGTCTAAATTGTCGGGAGTTTGTGGCTTATGTACCATCATGGGACTGCTAGTTCTTTTTCGAATCCCGCCCCTAAACACACAAGGGATAGGGGGAAGGTGACTCGAAAGAGAACCTCAACCTATTTCATTTGATGTTTTGGGGCACCCTATGACCGACTTTTGGATATGATTTGTTT